CTCGCCGCCGCTCGCAGTCGGGAGGTGCCCGGCCGCGGGCTCCCGGAGGCGAGGCAGCCCTCGCTTCCCTGGCTGGGGCTGTCTCTCGCCTCCTAATAAGCGGAAAGCGGTCGCGCTTGACCCCGGGCCGCGGGGGCCGAGCTGGGCGGCTACCCCGACCCCAGGGCGGCGCTTTGAGGCGGGGGCGTGCTGGACGGTGTGACGGCCTCCGCCGCGGGGCGGTCGGGGGCGGCGGGCCGAGGTCCCTCGCGTTTGCCTAACGAGTTCAGTTACGTGCGCAAATGGGAACAACTCAACAGTTCACCTGAGACCAGTCGAGGAACAAACCGCCCTGTCTCCTAGCTAAAAGATTTTCCTGAGATAAGACCCCGTGTCGACTGATGACTAGGCTTTGGTGTGCAGAGGCACGTGGAGTTACCCATAGCTGGCAGGATGGGGCACAAAGCTGTGCCACGCCGATGGAATAATGCTAATTACAGAAACATAGCTGCAACAGGCTTTTACAATTCTAGGGCAATCGAAACTATTACTATTGCAAAATGTCTCATTTTTTAATTACTACTGTTACAGTATCGTGGCTTTCTACCAGGCAGTTTTACAATAGGGAAATACAGGGAATTTTACAGAAAAAAAGTATGGCAAAACGGCTTAGGGATAGTCCATCATGAAATGGCAGGCTTGCTTCATTCCCATTCCCCCTGTTCTGCTCACAGCTGTTGCGATCCACAAGGACGAGGAGCCTACAATTACAAGATTAAGCAGTACTCTGAGTAATCAGAAAGTTGCAATGCTCCTTGCTTCGGTTCCCATACATTTACATAAAGACAGTGTATTTGCAAACAGAATCAAGCCCGTGGCTTGCAGAACAAAACGGTGAAGAATAAAATGTGTTTTAATTACAATTATGCAAAGCAGCATCCCTGAAGTGCTTACAGCAACAATGTATAAATTGCCAGCGCTAACTCCCCCTTATCTATCTGTCCAGAAGCCGATCGTGCTACAGTGAAGGAGCCTGCTCGTTGAACAACTAAGTAAATGTCACGCAGATTACAATAATCTTGTACGCATCGCTGGGATTTGCCACAGAGCAGTCCTGAGTAGTGGTTACAGACCGAACCATATCCTGGATTTTTATATATATGCAGCAAGCACATGTATTTTATTTTAAAAAATTAAAGGACTAACTTGTAGGTACCGTATGTTAGGTTTATACGTTCCTAATTGCTGCTTGATCCTCTTCCGGTAACACGGACGGACTCGAACCTGACTCACTGCAGCTCTCCTCGCTCACTAGCATCACGGCAGCGCTGTCACTGTCGTCACGGCCTCGTCCAGGACGTGTGGCTCCAGGAGCGTAGCGGGGAGTGGGAAATGGGTCAAGTCCTACCCTTTCATCCCGGACTGCCAGCAGTTCTTTGCTGGTCCCAGGACCGGGAAGGTGAAGAATAGGCGCAAGAAGTCTCATAAACTCATTTTATCCTCTTTTATTTTATGCTGTTTGCTGGTTAGGGCCTGTCTGGGCCCGCGAATCATTCCTACAGCTATTAGTCAAAGCAGCTATCGTAATACCCCAGGATAATATTTTCTTACATTGTCATTATGAAGTAGTAATTCTAGAATTACAGCAATTCTTGTCGTATTGTCGTTACGGTTTTTTTCAAAGAAAAATTACCGTGACTATCTCAGGGGATGTGCCAAGCTGGAATCGTGGAAGCACAGAAAAGAGGCATGAGGTTTCTGCTTAGTAATTTGAACAGATATTTAGTCTGAATAGAATTTGCAAGATCAGAATTACAATGATCTGAATGTTAGAAATAACATTTCCTACTTTAACAATACGTGATTCAAATCAAATGTGACATAGTTCCAAACAGGTAACACCACAGAGAGTGAAAATGGAATTTAATTTTGGGGGAAGGGGAGGAGGGGGATGACAGAAAGGGAAGGTCTGCTGATCCATTCATAAATCCACAAAGGTAAGATAAATTGGACACGCACGAGGGTAATGGTTGAAAGTACACTCCTCGAGTCCAGAAAATACTTGAGCCCATCCCTATTTGCGATAGTTCCCAAGCGGATATTTAGTTTCACAAATAAGCTTAGGAACCTGATTAACTCAGCCCTTCTTAAGTTCCCCTTTCTTAATGGCTTCAACTATGATACTTGAGAAAAACAGATTTGAAAGATGTGAAGTCAGGAAAGAAAAAAAAAAAGGAAAAGGAATAGCATGAGAAAGCGAAAAGAAGACAAAGATACTCCAGGTATATTCTGAAATACTACTATTTCAGTAGCTGAGGGAGGTGGCGGCAAGAAAGAGGACAATGTGGAAAGAGAACTGAAACTCCGGTGCCCAAGTGAAACGAAAGTGAAACCCAGGGCTGTGAATGGAAGAAGGACACCGTGGGGAAATGCACGAACACTGACAAGCCAGCACGACAGGAGAGGCTGCTATAAAATTTGACTTGCCCAGGGCAGCTGCCCTTGAGGTTTTTTAATCTGATTTTCTTAAAAAAAAGTCTAGCTTGCATAGATCTTTAATGACTGTTGGCCCCACAGTCATGCTGACTTAGGGTGAGTGCGGTACAGAGCCTTAGAGGGAAAAACACATCTGTAACCTCTCTCTAAGTTGAAAGCCAGATGAACTCTGATGCAACACAGAGCAGGCGGAGGAGCAGGCAGGACGATGCTGCCGGTTTGGGAGCCCCGCACCCCTGCTCTGGGAAGTGGCGCTCATTAGAGTGCAGCAGGGGTCCGGTCTCGCGCCCCAGGTCAAGGGCCAGAAATGAGCCACGTGGAGCAAGATGCCGTGTCCAAGAGAGTCACCATTGCCACAACTCGATTTGCAGTAATAGGACTAGTGACTTCCCTGAGTCTTCCTCCACCTCGACAGCACAACCCCTGTTCAAATCGTCAAAGCCTCGGAGCCTCCTGAGTGCACAGAGGCTTCACCGCTGATCTAGAAATGTTGTCCTTGGTGATAGATCCTTCTGTGAACCTGGTTGCCGCAGGCTGCTGGCTCAGCTTTTACGCCTGGCTGCGACCATCACAGTTTGGATGAGTGAGCGGTGGAGAGCACACAGGCCTAGGAGCCCCCCGTGTTTCCTGTACTTTGTGTGTCAGCACACTGCGTACAGGCAGCCACAATGTGTCTTCTGAGTGTAACGGCCGCCCTCACTAAGTTCTTACAAAGAGGTTATCCGCATTTTGGGGTTTTTGTTCAGCAGGCCTAAAACTTCTCCAGCAATGCTTTTAGGTGGGAGAAAGCCATTAAGAAGAATAAAAAGCACGACGCTGGGACACTGGACTGAATGCTGAAGCTAAAGGAGGAACTAACAAAGTAACTTTCAACACTATCCACATACATTTATTTTGTGTTTTAAATTACCCTATTTTTTTCAATATTGACTTCCGACCAAGGCAGTCAGAGATTTTCCGTTAATTTCAGCAACGTATAAACCCAGTTCCGTAGTCTCCGTTTGTTTGTTCCTCAACCACTACTAAGGATCTGCTAAACCTTGTTTGTAAGGATGTGAATGAGGTTAATCTGTGGCCCCTTTAAAAATCAGATAAGGAGGCTGTAGGCTGTACGTATAAAAAAATACATATTTTTTAGGGTGTATATATATATTTCAGAGAGTAGTATATGTATTTTTCATCTATAACAGCATATATATGTTTTTTTTCATGTTGATACTGTTGCCCAGCTACTGTCTCTGCTATTAGCGTTTTCACTTTTACAAAAAGCTGTAACAAATGCTCAGTGAGGATCTTTGCATGGATTCCCATACTACAGGGTAGAAGGTACGTAAATAAGGAAACAAAAAGCCTCCCTTCTTCCCTTCTTCCCTTCTTCCCTTCTTCCCTTTCCCAGACTGCAGGAAGATCAACTGCCTCTTTCTACCTACTAAGGATCTGCTAAACCTTGTTTGTAAGGATGTGAATGAG